CCCCCCCCCCCCCCCACTGTTAGGGTAAGACAGAGAGAGGAGTGGAGAGGTACAGGAAAAAGAGAGAGCTTGGTAAGGAGGTTGTTGCTGTCTTTTCTTGTTTGCTTATGTGGATAGTTGATTTTTCAAAAAGGTCCTAGGAATCGATGGAGCAAAGCAAATTGCAGCATATTTAAAATCTCAAGGAGTGAAGCTGGAATTTTTAGTCGATGAGGGAACAGTCATTGTTAAAGATGCTTTTCCAGGTCTAAAGAAGTCATATGCTTTGTGAGTAAGACAAAAACCTATGTTTTTTTTTTTCAACTCAATATATACCATAGTTTTAGAATAGTTATGGTAGGAGGCACTTCCCGTCAGTGTAAAAGAAATTGAAATATTTGTCACTGATTTTGTAGCCTGCAGAATGGGTGTCATCTTTCCTGTTTTAAGGGCAAGCCACACCCTGAGTGGAGTGTAAGGGGTGAGAAATGTGGGGTGGGGTCAAGAGAGAATGATCCCTTCTTTGCATGGGTCTCCACTTTATCATTTGCTGTAATTGGGTTGATTTTGCCTCATTCCCAGATTCTCTCCAGCTGAGGAAAAAAAGAATGAATGAACAAAGAAGAAAAAGATCCTTATGCTCTGCAGTTGCCACCAATGTTTCTCGCTTTTTGCTCATAGTTCAAAGCTGTTATTAGTTCTGACTAAAAAGGAGGCAGAGAATGATTTGTACCTGTAACCTCCTCAAATCCCATGAGTGAGCAAGAGTGAAGTTCTCCTTACGATATCAATACAATATCAAGCAGACAAGTGATGAGAATAAAGAGGAAATAACGATAAGGAGATATTTAGTTGATCCAATACCAAATTCTCTAAGCTAACATCATAAGAATTGTAAAGTGTAGTAAGGAGAATTACTAATGAGATCTTGGGAGTGAAAGGGTTGATTATTAGCATCGTAAGAGACAAAAAGGCGGTAACAATATATATTGGATCCGTGATTGTGTGTATTATTTTGTCTATAGAATTGGAGTAGCAGAAAAAGGCTACATAACACTAGAACTAAGTGTGCAAACTTCAGCTGGGCATTCGTCAATGCCACCTAGGGAGAGCAGTATTGGAATCCTGTCAAATGCTGTTGCAAAGTAAGTCTTTGGCATTGTAAATTCGTAATAACTTTCGTTGTTGACTGCTTTGGTCGCTTTCCAACTTTTCATCCTTTTTATCCGTTTTCCAATCCTTCTTTTCGTTTCTTCTGTTTTAGTCCATCCGTGCGTGCGTGCAAACGTGCGTGCGATTGTATGTGCGTGCTTACGACCGTCTGTCCTTCTGTCTGTTCGTTTCTTTGCACGTTTCGGCGAACATCTCGTTCGTCGACATTCATTCGTGCGCTCGCCCGTTCATTCGTTCGTTCGCTCGTTCCGTCGTTCGTTCGCCCCCTCGGACGACCTTTTGTTCGTTCGTTTGTTTCTTCGTTCATTTTTCCTTACGTTCATTTGTTTATACAGTCTATTTCTTCCATTGTTTTCATTCGTTAGCTTCTTGGCTCTTCATCCTTCCCTTTCGTCTCTCTTTCTCTAACTTCTGATATCTTACCCTCTTAAATAATTCCATTCCATTCATTTTTTTTTTTTCATAGATTAGAGGCCTGTCCCATTCCTGCTGTATTTGATTCCACTGGTCCAGTAAGGGAAATGTTTGAAAATTTTGCCCCTCAGGTAAAGCCAACTGAAAGGCATAGTATACCAAAGGCACCCTAATCTCGATGTACAGGTACATCAGTGATACTTTTGCGCAACAGCAGCAACATAAGGATTCGTTTACGAAAAACGGTTGTCTTGACAAACAAAAAAAAATGTTTTGTGATTTGATTTGGAAAATACGCACTGTAGTGCGTTTCAGGGTTGTTTTGAAGCCGATTCACAGTAATCTAGTCTGGGGAGCTAAAATTGAAAAAAAAAACTGAATCGTCACATTTTGACTTGATAACCACACTGGCGACCAAAAAAACACTGATTGAAGGGGTTTTGGGTTTATTGAGACCAGGACGTTCTTTTGTTCATAAATGGAGCTGTTTAAATGGAGCTGTTTTCCTACACAAATCCTTGTATTTCCCGATGTCGCATACCAACTAACATTACAGTGGTACAAAGAGGTACACGGGGCTACCTTTGACTATAAATAGGCAATATTTATAGTCAAGATGAACATGCAATTTTACGGGTTTATTTGATTGGCATGACGCGAGGCAGTCATTTTGAAATTAAGCGCACCTGCTATAATCACATCACGCAAGGTGGTTATAGCAAGCTATGACGCAATCCTCGACCAATCAGAATGCGCACATCTCTATAATCACCTGAGTAGTTATACCAAATTTGGATATTTGTCCGCGTATGTTATATTTTCATAAACTTTGAGTGTTACACCGAAAAGTTCTAACAAGCAAGTTGCTAATAAGGTATCTTTATTTCCCAGGTTCCAGTCTATCTGAGGGCTATCTTGGCAAACCTGTGGCTTTTCAGCCCAATTGTTGTCAGGTTTGTTACATATCAAAAATAGCTACCCATGCCAATCGATCTGCCACGAACGTGGGACAAATTATTATATAATAAGTGAGATACTACGAGTGCCCTGATTGGTTGAATTGTACCAGTAAAACAATTATAAAAGCACTAGATTACAATTTTTATCGGTTTTTCAAACCACAATGTGCTCATACAGAATTTCGCCACTAACAACGAGAACTCCCTACCAAGGTACACTAGATGTACGCAGAAATGCTGCACTCGGGAAATTTCAAAGAAATACGATACTTAAGTACTTATTGCAAAAGCTGACGAGATTTTTAGATTGGATGATAATTTTGTGAGACTTGTGATTTTTCAACATGCCAACCGTTTCAGTGAGAAAAGCTGAGGGTAGTTCGAATTTGGGAAGACTCCAAGGAACGTCTTCTCACCTGATGTAAAAGTTGTTCTTTCCATATAGAATCCTTGAGAAGAAACCTACAACAAATGCTTTCCTTCGGACAACAACTGCTGTAACTCAGTTTAACGCCGGGGTCAAGGTTTGTGTTAAAATTATTTTGAATAATGTCAACGTTTTGATGTTTTGAAATGGAGGGAGAGGCTCATGTGTAAAATTTTTGTCAGTACTAGCTGCATAAAGCACTCGCGATTTGTCCCTCCAAACGATAGAATTTAATTGCACTAGTGACTAAATTAAGTCGAGCACCCACCATCCCTGCGGCGTTCTTTGCATAGTTACGTGACCAGCTACAACCAAGGTCCTTTTACGAAGGAGGAAGAGAGAGGACCTTGGGAACGAGGTTGCTTGGCCCTGCACAAAGCTTTCATGTGCATCATACCGGGATCAAATATCAAAGCATCATTTGTGGTAGATATTGAGATAGGTCGGCGAATAAAATAATCAATATAGGCGTGCAACCAAGAAAAATATGATATCATATCTTTTATCTTTCATTCTTTCTTTTTTCACCACCAAATAGGCTAACGTGATACCCTCCTCTGCAAGAGTCACTGTAAACCATCGGGTTCATCCGAGTAACACGATTGAAGAGGTGAGGACACATCGCTCTGCTTATTTACAGCAACCTTAAGTTGAGTGTGGCAAGTATTCCGGGATTGTTTTGTTTTTCTTGCTTCGCTCTGTGATTGGTGTAGAAAACTCGTGCTACTTTCTCAACCAATCAGACAAGGGGAAGTACGCTTAAAGTAAAACACGGATTAACTTAAAGAAAAAAATTCAAAACATAACAGGGAAAAAATAAATAAATTTTTGTTCTCTTGTGTAGGTTCTGGAGCATGACCGTCGCTGTATTGACGATGATCGTGTTAGCATTCGTGTAATGCAGTCAGCAAAGCCCTCACCCGTCTCTAGCTGGGATATACATTCATTTGGATTCCAGGTATAAAAAACAAAACAATGAACAAAACAGGATTATTACAAGAAACTCTCGGAAATAGAGTTCATGGTGGGGCGGGGGGAGGAGGGGCGCTTTAAGGAAACAAGTTCGGGGAGGGGAGGGTGTCTATTTGATGTTGGTTACGTTTTATTTGGCTGTTTGTAGACCCTGTCGAAATGTGACCTGTAAGTAGTTTGTTGTACTTTGACTATTGGATCAAAGTCAGTATCTTAACTGTTGTGCACCTACCCCTCTCCCAAATCCAGCAATAACCCTCCCCTAACCCTCGACTGTTGTCGGGTTGAGGGAAGGGTAGGTGTGCAGTTGTTCCGATAGAGACATTGATTCCTTGCCTTGGCTAACGATGTAAAGATCTACTTTGATCTTTAAAGCTAATTCAACAAATTAATTTTTTGTCAGAGATGCATACATTCATTCATGTAAAATTGTTTTCTTTTATTTATTTATTTTTTAATTTGTGTTCCTCACAGGTTATTTCTCAAAGCGTGCGGCAAGTTTTCCCAGAAGTTGGCGTATCGCCAGGTAAGCGCCTGAAATACAAATCTTACACAGGGTATCCTAGTAGTTGGCAATTTATTTATTGTTTTGGAAAAAAAGTAAACAAACTGATGGAGAAATTTGAGAAAAAGATGAATATAGATGAATAGTTATTCGTCCAGGGTGGGGAGGGACAAACGACCCCCTCCTCCCCTATAGGTGTTGTTAACAACCCTAAGCTTTTTAGTTCAAGGTATTAAGAACTCTTTTCCCCGTTGTATTTCTTTTCAGGACTTATGATAGCAAACACAGATACCAAGTATTATCTAGAGCTCACAGATGCCGTCTACAGATTTATGCCATCAGTTTTGACACCCGAGGACGCCAAAAGAATCCATGGGTTTAATGAAAGAATTGGAGTCAAGAATTATGAAAAGACAATAAATTACTTCTATCACGTGATGATTAATGCAGATGCAGCAAGTTTAGACACAGATACTGAACACACCGAACTATAACAAGCGAGGAAAGATGACTTCCGAAGACTTCAGGAAGCTTCTGGAACACGAAGCGAATCCATGCCGATGCTAAATCTGACTTTGTTAACCGAAAAAAAAATTCAAATTTTTAAAGAATGTTTTGATATTTATCGCGAAAATATTTTATCTGCAGGTACAACGTCCTACAAGTTTTCTTACCATAATTAATTATGTTGAGTACCACCCATAAAGTATTTTTTGTAAGGTGGTTTCAGGAACATCTATTGGACTAGTGTTCATGTAGCTATGGGATGAAACTCTCATCTCAGTAGATCAGGGAGAGGCAACTGCCATAGCTGTTTCTCTTGGCTCCTGTTTTAGCGTCTGACGGCACCAATCAAAGCCAAGACACAGGTAATGAGCCCCTACTTTAATGATTGTAGATATTTTTAATAAGCATATACCACTCAGGTGTCCTTTTTGTGCGTGCTCATTGGCTGGCTGGTTCAGAAATGATTTGCGTGGCTAATTTACATTTTCAACTCAGTTGATTGCACCTTATTATTTTTAAATTTGTTTGGTATATACTAAAACAATTATTCACCTCAGTGTTGGCAAAAGTAGTGGATATTTACCTTGCTGCTACACGGCTGTGTAAATATTCACCTCTACTAAGGCCAATAATTGTTTATTATTAAATTATTATAATAACAATAGTAGAAATAATAATAATAATGATAATAATGCTAATAACATTTCAGTATGTAAGAGAAACAGTTATTTAACCCTATAACAGTAAAATGGATTTTTATTCTTAATATATTTTGTGAAGAATCAGATCACTTATTATTACGCTTTCTATTTGTAATTATATTTATGACTGCACAGTATCTGCAAACTCTGTAAATCAGTAAGTGGTTGCCTTGAAATTCACAATCAAGACTTGCTTAACCGCAATTTATTTAAAATTCAGCATCATTACTCAAAGTTCTTGTTTTTGTATCCAATTTTATTAAATACAAAGAAAAAGTGTTTTACAGTTGTGGATAAAGTTAAAAATTTTAAACCAATTGAGCCAGCCTAGGATTCCTGCAGTTTACTTTTAACATTGTTGGCACTCCACCAAATCAACAAAGCTGCTACAACGGCAATAAACTCTGTTTGTACATAGAGTCCTTCACGGCCAGCTCCCTAAAAACAACAAATCAACTTTGAATTAACCTTTAGGAAACATATCAGTAAGAGAAAGTTAGAATCAACCTGCTGGGGTGCCAGGCCTCCATAACTTGAGTTACTTTCTGCCAAAAGTAAGGTTACACTCTACATGAGGGTCATCAAAAACCATTGGTTGGATGGGTTGGGAAAACAAGTAAATATGACAAGTATGTAGATCAAATAACATTTCTGAACCTGTCCCTCCCCATCAGATAGATATACAGAAGACAATGGCATGACTTTGGGGAGAGAACCAAACCTAGTTAGGGAGGCAGGCCATAATGAATTTCATCCATGTTCAAATCATAAATTTATGGTCTAACAGATCAGAATAGTGCAAGTGAGTAAGTGAATTTTAGGTTGCTACTTAATCCTCATGGAATGACCACCATCATACCATGAGGTAAAAATGGATGAAGAAGATTGTAGGTATTCAACTGGAAAGTTTGGCAAAATTTTCATGATACAAAAGCCCAAAAAACCCAGTGTACACCTTCCCAAAGACATCTCAGAACTTCTTAGAGGATAAAGAGTCTAATCATGATTTTGCATCATGGTAGCGATTGTGTTCATCACAAAGGTCTTTGGGAAGTTAGACACTCATCTAGAAAATCTATTGTTTCTTAGGAGTAACTAAAAGAGAGAAATGTCATAAAATGGAATAAAAACAATGGATGTGAAAGCATTCCTCACCCGATGATTGACATCAATGGAGAACAAGGCCTTGGCCTCACTTGGTGTACCACTTCTCTGTGCCTAAAAGCAAATTAGGGTAGATGAGAACATGTTTGTACCATCCTAAATATATTAAAATCCTATCATTTGTTTCTGATTATTCTGATTATCAAAGAGCAAGTCACATATATCAGACTTCCGGTATATTTTGTAATCATCTTTCTCATTGGATTGACAGATAATTATACAAGTCATCATTTACTGGACAGCCCTTTGAAATGCTCAACATCTGCAAGTTGAGTGTGAATCCTTCTCCTTATAAATTTAACATAGTTAACAGGAAGGACAAGAAAAAACACAGAGGTAGAACAAAGGAGTTTTGATACACTCCCTCCCTCGTCTCCACCAAGGACAAGACTTGAAAGGAATAAAATTTTCTTAGCAGATATTTTAACAGCAAACAGGTTGCAGAGACAATTTTTTTTTCTGTGATATGATCAAGAGTTCTTTGCCACACTAGGAGTGATTAACACATAACTTCTCCTTAGAATATCCAAACAGTATCCAGAAAACATGTAGTGAGAATACTCAACTTATCATGGAGAAGTTGTTACCTTGATATTAGGACAATTTCTTATAACTAATTTACAAGGATGTGTAGCAGCTAGAGGGGATAGCTGACAATCAGAACAGTGGGTTTTAGACATTGTTATCCAAAATTACTTGAAATGACTCAAACTGGTTCAAAATCATCCATACTAACAGCAATAAATAAAAAGGTTTATAACAAACTAGTTGGGTGCAGTATGGGGGGGAGGGAGGTGGGGACCAAAAAGATGTATTAAAATGACCAAATTGTTTCCCAATATTAAACCATCCTTAATTTGACCAGTGTACCTTTCTATAGGCTGCATATCCCTCATCATCATAGAAACTCAATTTGTAGACACCAGCTTTAGCCTCCTTGTGCTCCTCTGCCCAGCTGACCTAATAATAAAAATAACAAAAAGCAAGTTGGTGCGTTATTCAGGTACTAAAAAAAAAGTTCAACATTGAGTTATCCAAAGACATATCAGAACATGTAATAGTGTAATCATATGTACTTTGTACACTCAGGGTAGCTGATTCACATTCATCATTCATGTCTTTGGGACAATTATCGAACAAAGAAATTCTCAAGGCATGGTTTCTAGCTTCACTGATTCTCGGTTACCATGGAATTTGGCATATTAGTTGCTATAAAGAAAGAAAAGATGAGAACCAGGAGAAGATTCAATCCTCAAGGTTTTAACAGCTGGGAATTGAAACAGGGTGTCATGAGATGGAAGAACTCCATGTTAGCTCCTTGGATTTCATTTAACCCTATAATACCTAAGAGTGACTAACATATAATTTCTCCTTACAATATCTCCCCTGAATCAAATATTAAGGTTGAGGATAAAAGACATGATCACTGACTATAGAAGCTGTTCATTGTTTAACTAATTCTCCTTGTCAGCACCCAGGGAAATGTATAGAGAACAGTAAGGAGAATATGCATACCAATGTTAGTGTATTAAGGGTCAAAAATGCCACTGAGCCAACAATTAGGAAGACCCACTGGTCAAAAGGCTAGCACTCTGGACTTAATGTCAAGAGATCTGGCTTTGCAACCTGGCTAAATCTTGTCCTGCGTTCTTGGATAAGACACTTCACTCTGATGATCCCTCCCTTCACCCAGGAGTTTGAATGGGGGCAGCTAACTCTGTAACTTTTAGAGAAGCCTGATAATGCCCAGGGTAACTTGTGATGGACTAGTTTTCCATCCATGGGGAAGAACATTTTACAATTATTTACTGATGTGGAGGTGAAAAGTAGTTGATTTTTACTAAGCCACAAGGCAGCAAGGTAGATACAATATGTATCACTTTCACTGACACTGGGGTTCATTATCATTTTAGAATATACCACAACTGAAAAACTACATGGTAGTTTATTCCTTTCAATGCCAGTAAATTGAAAATTATGAGAAATTAAACTCTTGAAGCACAGTTCTGAGTTGAAAAGTAAATGCATTTGCTGTTTACTTAGACCTAGCCAATCAGCCTGTGTGAGGTACATAGGAATTATTCCCTGCCAAGTTCACATTGATCTTTCTAAAATCAGCTACAAATAATTACAAACCTGGTATTTTGCATCATCAGTCGATCTTGTAACTGGCATAACTTTTCCATTAACTTCAGCATACAGATTCACATTCTGTTTACATAATAAAACATATGAAAGAATAAATTCCTTTACCTGCATTTAAAGAGCAGAACTGTTCAGTTTGCTTACCAAAAAATCTCAAGTGAGCCACTGAAGTCATGCAATGATTCCCAAGACTTTTCAGCAATTTGAAAAGTTTAACAATGAACAATAAAGTGGTTGATTTACATATATCATAAATGTCTTAAGAAATATATTAGGAGTTTCCTTATCTTGTAAGCATTGCACCATTTTTTATTGGTATGCTTTTATGTTCCATGTTGAAAAAGTTAGCATGCATCTATGGCAATCACAATAACCAATCATAATTTACTGTTCTTCATGGTGCACAAATGAGCAATTGGTTCCAGTTATGCAAATAAACCCTCTACACCCTTACATCAGTAAACATATTCTGTTCTTCATACATTTGAGGAACATGTGAAGTGCTGACAAGGAGAATTTGTTTAACAGTCAAGAGCTTCATTAGTCAGTGATCATTCCTTTTTCCTTGTAATTCTAAGTGTATACAAATTTAGCATGGGGTTGTGCAAGGGCCTTTCCCTTCTTCACTAATCAAAGAAAATGGTTTAACAAAAACAAAGGAGTCTTGGGCAACTTCTTAAATTCTACAAAATATCGTTCTATATTTAAAGTTAACTCTCTCTCAGCTACAGTTGTATCTGAGCAGAACTATCCAGTAGTTTCTTGAATTGTATTTTTCTCTCTGGTACTCATATCATGGAAATGGAAATTTTTCAGACAGCATAAGAATAAGACCATCAAACTAGGACTACTTCACCCATCCGCAAATATACCATACCTTTGCACCATTGTCACATTTGAGGGAAAATTCAACAATGAACACACTCTCTGATGACAGCAAAATATTCCTTGTGGTATAAATGTCTGTGGTTGGCCTAGCTCCTACGCAAGCATCACCTAATTCAAAACCACGAAGTGAAATCAACGTTAAGAAGATATTTCGTGACACACTCAAGGCATTTCATCCATACTGTTACTTCAATTTTATTCTGGAGGTTGTGCTCGCCTTCATCAAATACAGTAACACGTCGCTGAATGTTACAAAACGATGTAGACGGCAAAATGTGTCAATCAATAATTGTACAGCGTCTGATAAAAATTAGGAAGTTTGAAAAGCAAAAAACACTCTAGAAAAGGTCAAAGTAGATTATCCAATAGAGTCCTGCCTCGTGTGGCGAAAAAAAGTGCTGAAAATTTCTCACATTAACTTCCCGATGGAGACTTTTAACTTTATAATTACCCTACATTTTAGATTTAACGTTCAATTAAAGTTATTTTCAGCTTACCAGATGACTTTAGAGGCACAGAAACAGCTAAAACGGCGAGAACAAAGAACAGGGCAGCCATGTTGGTCCCGTCCACGCTCGAAGAGAACGAACTAAGAACATCACGTGGCATTCGTTAGCTGAGACAAGAAACACACCAACCAGCGGTTACTTCCCTAAGCGTTGAAAATGAAAGTCAAACGGGTGAAGCATGCAAGGAGATATTTAACTTTGTTCAAAAATTCCTTCGGGATATTTGAACCTTATCAAATTTTAGGTGAGTGGAATTGTTAAACACATTTTCTTCTCTAACCTGTCGCAGTTTGGAGTCAATGGAGAGCGTCTGTGTGTTTTGCACACCGATTTTATGTGACTTCCGGCAGTTTAACTGGTCGGCCATGCTTGCGAGTGTAATTTTATTTCGGTGTTGTTCTGTTCTCAGTTGACGGCACTTTCTGTCAGGCAGCACTGCAGACCAAGATCAATATCAAGGAACAGCTTCCCAAATACTTGGATGGATCTGTTCAGTTATGTATCCTTTATTCATGAAAGTTCAAAATTACTCTGTACTTGTTCAAGAAAATACGTGAAAGAAACATGCACATACCTGTACCAACCCTTGAAACAAAATAGCGCTACTGAATTTTTTTTTAAAATTCTTTTGGGCTGCCAGTGTTTTGGGGCAGTGCTTGGGCCGCCAGTGCTTTGGCGGCCCAAGCTTTAGCTGTGAGATGATCATCTGGTGTAAGAAGCGTCATGGGGAAAATAAAAGAGTTTTATGGGAATATGAATATTTACGACTGCTTTTCAGAGAAAAAAAATCATTCAACTTCTCAATAAAAAATACCTCACCTTACTTCCAGGTACAGTGTATCGCTTCTTGCCTGAACGCTTTCTTTGTGGAAATGAGGCCATTTTAGTGATTTATCTTTTCTAGGTTTCCTACTCCTACTTCTCTTAGGAGTAGGAAACCTTTGTTTAAAAGAACAACAACTTCAAGTTTGTCCTCCATAGATCAACCATGACATTTCCTGGTGAATTCTTTCTAATTTGGTCTTTGTCTATCTTACCAAAGTAACATTTTCTGCCTTCCTTCTCATTAAAGGTAATTTTTCGTTTTGGAATAATTGACTCAAAATATTAATGGAGTAGAGTTACATGTATGGTCACAAAGTGGCAAAGGTACCATTCTTTATCAGTAACTCAAAAGAGTGATTCAAAGGTTTATTTGATTGCTGTCAAAAGAAAATATAGTTATCTAAAAGCTGATGATTCATGATGGTAAATGCAAAAGAAGATATCAGAACTTGGACACAACATTTTCCTGTTATTCAGAAATCATACCTGGCATTAGAATCAAAGTATAGCCTTGGTAATAGCAAGGAGTTACAACTTTTGACTTGTTATGAAGATAAAACAAATTTCTAGAGAACAAGGGAACAGTAGTTACCACTTACATATTTTAGTTAAAAACTGGTATGTTGTACGAGAATGAAATCAGAAGTTGGTAAATTTTTACAAGCTTTACAGATTCTAAATTAATGAACTATTGCTAGAACGCATGCTATCTGAGTCTCAAAGCCAAAATGTATGTTTACAGCCTTAAACCCTTTCACTCCCATGATCTGATTATTAATTCTCCCATCTAGCTGTTTCACATTTTCTTGTAATGAAGTTACAATAATTTGGTGGTATATCATGATAACAACCTTTAACTGATAAGTTTGAGTAATCTCATGACCTGTTTGTGGGATAATGTGTGAATATTGTTGGGAGAAGTTACATGTAAATCACTTCCAGGAGTTAAAGGGTTAAAGTTATTTTTTGTACAAATTTAACTTGACTTGTGACAAGTGACAACAAAATGTGTAATAGAAGAAGGAAAGGCACTTGGTCCTCAGCTGGCAGGCGCTGTGCTGATTTTAAAGAGATTCCAGCTGCGGAAATGTGGCCACCATAAGGAAGCTGTGCCAGCTGCAGAATGTATTATGAATATGATAGGTAACTGTATAATGAAATTAATTGTATGCACATTTTGATTGCATCATTGATCGATTGGAGGACAAACACATTGATCAGATGACATCACCATCAACACCAGTTGCTTTATAATAACATAACATGTAGATCCCATGTTGCTCTGCTTCTGTTCAGTGAGAGATTACAGCCAGGTTAATTTCTTGCAGTTCATCCTTTGTTTACACCTCAATAATGTCCTGTCTTGTTCTTTTTGTAAGCCACACAGATTATATCCCAGTTGGCATAGCTTTGGAAAATGATATATTTGCCTTGACTAACAAATTGTAATATGTTGCTCAAGATCCTTTAATACATGTTAATTCTTCCTGTTGCTTCTCTTTGAAAGGAACTGAAAATAAAAATGGCTACTTTGTGGCCTCACAAGACAGAACTCTAAGAAGTCATCTGCAGAAAATTCCAGGTAACATTCTGTTTCATTTAATTCTTATCCTCTACAGTGAATTTGTCTCTCCTTAACCCTTTATACCCTGACATCAACATCCATATTCTCATTACTGTTCTCTATACATTTCCTAAGGTGCTGGCTAGGAGAATTTGTTCAGCAATCAAGAGTTTCTTTAGTTGGTGATAATTTCCTTTATTCTCATGACCATAAAACATGATTGAGGGGTGATGTTGTGAGGAGAAATTAGATACTGGTCACTCTTAGGGGCTAAAGGGTTAAGGTGTTTTAAGACCAGGTTGCACACCTAACACTATGATATGCAGTTTACAAACCAATGCTGCGCTGATCATCACCAAATAATCTTCTTTTTTTTGTATTGTAGAAGGATTTTTTTTGGGTAGCCCTTAATTATAAAATTCATGATTTTCCTGACTTTGTCCAAATATTTTACAGGAGTACCACTTTTATTTATTAACCACAATACAATACTCCTGGAGAAACCTTCAAGGGCGTCTCATCAAGCCTCTGACCAGGTTTGTCATCTCTTTGAACCCTTTAACTCCCAAGATCTGATTGTTAATTCTCCCCTCTAGCAGTTACACATTACCTTATGACTTAGTTTGGAGAATTTGGTGTTAGATTACAATAACAACTTTTACCTGATAAGTTTAAGTATTCTCATTACCTGTTTGCTGGATAACATGTGAATATTGTGGGGAGAATTTACATGTTAATCATTTCTGAGAGTTAAAGGGTTAATATACATGTAATAGGCTGAATTACATCAGTATTTTGATTGGCTCTTCCTTATCATCATTTAGGGGATAGGTTGAAATGTAATCTTCCTCAGCCGTTGAATCCGTGTGAAAGAGTACACGCATATACATAAAGAGATTAACAAAACACGTTTTCAAATAGGCGAAACCCCGCGAAAGTGCACGCACTGGAAGTGCGTGTACGAATTACACGTGCTTTACGCGCGTGTATTTACTGCAGCACAAGCAAGCGTTACTGTTGAAGACGTCTCACTCAAGAAGTTTTATCTTTTGATTATTGTTTAAAACAAATAGATTCTTTAAAAAATAATTGTACGGTACAGTTTGAGCTCGGTAATCAAATATAGGAAGATGTTTATTCTTCTTGTCAAGAGCGCGCGACAAAGAAACTATTCTAAGTCCCCATGAAGAATCGAACCTCAAACCTTCGGATTCCGCACTCCGATGCTCTACCACAGAGTCACAGAGACTCTATAGAGAGATAGGCTATTATTAGGGTCAAATATGTATGTGACACGCGTCTTGTACACCTCTAGAATATTTGAGCAATGTCGACAATTGGAGTCATGAAACATTTCACAGGATACACTCTCTAACCGACATGATTTGTTTAGTTACACGTGTGAGTTGTTCACGTGTTTTGCCAAGTGTATCCTTAACTCGAATATTTTTAGCCAGAAGCTTTTAGAGTCTTACTTTGGAAAAGTTTCACCGTTTTATTTCATCAAAACACTGCAAATAAACCATGCATTTTTAAAAAACAAAAACAAGAAAAATTAAAAGGAAAAAAAAACAGATTCATAGCATTTTGCTTACTGCCATTGAAAAGTTGTGTCATCGACAAAATTGTGTAATTACCTGAAAAGCCATCTCAACAACCTCTTTAAATTACCTCGTCAGCTCATTGGCCGAGCGAAGAGTTGCACTTTGTTCGTAAAGTGCTGAAAAGTCGATTAAAACGTTGTTTTCGGGGTGCAAACTTCATATGGCTGTTATTTCTGCCGGGCAGGCTTTGATTATCGTTTGAACTGATAAATAGAAAACAAAATTTGGGCTCATGAAACACGCAAGTGCAAGAGATAATTTTCTACGGACTACATGTATGTCATGTAATAATATATCATAATGCTTTGATACAACGCTGCGAAGGTTTGGTCAGGAAAATCGTTTTTCACTCGCTAACCGGCCAAGTGAAGAAGCACACTCAGTATTGGAATGAAAGGTATTTCGTTTTAATTGTAGTTCTTTGCAATATTTTCCCCACAATTGTCAGTATTCACATTCATAAATGTTTTTCCGAGTCGGGAAACATTTTATCTCCATTTCATTATTTTTTTTCGTGCGGGTTTTGTGTCCGACCCTAACTGAACTCTTCGCGTAACATCTACCGGAAAGAATGTGATCAAATTTTTTTACAAGGAAATGAAAATTCCTTTAATTTGCCTGGCTGTGACGTGTCGATATGTGGGGCGTATCTCAGTTGTTCTTGGCACTCAACCGGTATGAGAGACATGGAGTCCCCATTTTCCGGAGATTCAAACTTACCACAGAGTCAAAAACTCGGGCAAAGTCCTTGGTATGCTTCAAAGTAGATTGGAAAACACGAGTCAAGCAAGTTGTACACTTAAAGATTGGGCGATTCCACTCGAGAATTTAACCGGATTTTGAACTTTGTAGCGAAAATCACTCGCGTCGCTCGTGCGTCAGTTCCACTTGAACATTTTGTCACGTTATTAAGATAACAGTAGTTTTTTTATTTGTTCTTACTTTTGAGACCAAAGGAGATATTATAACAGTGCTCGGTTTTTTATATATATCAGTAGTGTTACTCTTCTTTTAAGGCTCGTTTGAATTTAAAATTTTATTTGCCCGGTCAAAGAAAAAAAAAAGGAAAATAAAGGTTGTTTTTCCCGACGTCGCGTGACAAATTTGGACAAGAGTTCGTGACGGCGATTTCGCCGGGCACGTTCAAGTTTGTTTCCTGAAATCTGGATTTTTCGTCTTTATTCGAATTTACCCTCATTATTTCATTCTTTCTTGATTGTGATTCTCTCTATAGTGTTGCCCTCAGGACACATTTTAAAGGCATTATTACACGTTGGCAAAGACAAATAAATAAAAGAAAGTAAACAAACATGATAAACGAAGGATAGTGTCGCGGTTTCGCAGCGTTTCGTAACTTGTTTTTTCCGGTCGTATGGGAAGCTGCGATAAGTTTTTTTTCCCTTCACTTGTTTTGGTCTAAAATTAAATTGAGAATATACAGTAAGTGCCATTATTTTTTGTCGTTTTCTTTTTCTAAGATATACCACTTTTTCTGTTGTTTTTGAAGTAGGAAGCCATGCGATGTCGCGCGAATCTATGCTCAGTAAGAAACGATCCACGGCCATGTTGCATATTCCAATAAACAAGCGACTTATCTGCAGCCTTATGCTTCTTTCAAAGACAAGCGCAGTTTTTTCTCTGGTAACTTTGACCCCCTAAAGAGTAATCAGCATCTAATTTCTCCTTACAATATCACCCTTTGAATCATACATTACGGGCACGAGAATAAAAGAAATGATCACCAATTAAAAAAGCTCTTGATTGTTAAACAAATTCTCTTTGTCAGCACCTTAGGATAAGTATAGAGAACAGTAAGGAGAATATACATACTGATGTTATGTTGTAAAGGGTTAAGCCTTTGCCATGTTTTACCTTCGCCGACGTCGTTCCCCCTTCGGATTTAGAATAATTATCTTATCTTCCAAACCACTTGTTTTGAGTTTCACGCTTTATTTCACTCTAATCAATGCCATCTTTTGCGTTCAAGGTTCAAATTTCCCGTCTGCAGCCCTCTGCACACGAGAAAGAGACGTTAGTTCGACTGAAGGACTCCGCTACGGATGCTCAACCGAAACGTAAACGGAAGAGGCCCGGGGGACCAAACCCTCTGTCCATGTTGAAAAGCAAGAAGAGAAAGACTGGTGATGAAACTAAGGTGGGAATACCTAGCTGTTTATTGCTATAATGATAGTGATGATAATAATGATGATGATGATGATGACGAAGACAATGACGATGACGATGACCCAAATGATCAATTGGCAAGAACAATGGCTTAGCACGGGCGTTTAAAATCATTGTACATCTCTTAGCCGTCCTTTGCAATAAAAACAACAGGAAATCACCAGGATTGGCGTGGTCTGAGAACGGAAACCCCGACGGCAAATTATTTGAATTTCCATCTGGAACTTAACGCTGCTCGCATACGTTGTATTGAAGTTGAGGTGTGAAGCGGTAAAAGACAGCAAACACATACAGCCAATTGCGGAGTTCCACTCAGGGATTTCGGTTTGTATCACGGTGAAATTTACCTGCTCCCCCATAAGGGCTCTGCAATTTTCTTCGGATCCTTCTCCCTCATTAGCAGTAGATTGGCAGTCAATGTTCTATAGACCTTGCCTATACTATGATGGCGACGACTGATCCTCATCCGTTCCCCCCCCCCCCCCCCCCCCCCCCGGCGATAAATTTTCAGGATATCTTGAATCTTAATAATAATAATAATAATAATAATAATAATATAAAATTAATTCTCTCCTTCTTAGAAAAAGCGAATCCGTAAAAGAAAAAGAAGAAAACTGGCCGAGCACGTACAACAAGCGCTGCAGGAACAGATGACAGGATGTTCTTCATAATCCAAGGTTGGAAAATATGAAGCAAAATGTTTCATTTATTTACGAAAATTATACTCTCATACTCATTTATGAAGCAGTCTTAAATCAAGCGTTGAGAAACCAAAACTATAATAATCACAGTGCCAACCAGAACAAAGGTTTATATTTTCAGTAGCCAATGAGAACTGAGAGCAAAAAGAAGCAAACTTCTTGAAGCGCGGGAAAACGCGTGTGACCAAGTCGCCATTTTCTTTCGTTTTCCATCTGATTAATCGAGAGGATGGTGCAACTTTTCTGCTGGACCAATCACAGAGCGCAAAACCCGATTACTTTTGAGACTCAATTGGAAATTGCTCCAAAGAGTAAATGTGTGATTACAAGTTCACCAGGCGTGGAAGTACATTCCATGTCTATTTTCTTAAGACATGTAGTAAAAGTTGATGCCCGTAGAGCTTCGATTGTTCTTCAACCCTTCATCCACTGTGAAGAATCGATTCGCAGTTATCAAACATTTTTGAGACTTGGTTTTTCCTTTCGACGTTTCGTGAATTAATAGTTTTTCTTGATGGTACTTTTCTCAAACGTCTAACCGAAGCGAGGAAGCATTGTGGTTGAAACGAAGAACTCTTAGTTAGGAAAAAAGTACAACGCTTTTGTTGTTGTTGTTGTTGTTGTTACTTTTTTACGATATTAAAGTGTTTCGGTTGAATGAGCGATGCTAAAACATTCGAATTAAGTGAAAGTTAGTGTCGAATTTTTAAAGTTGAGGGTGAAAATCGACTCCGCACTCAATAAAACCGGTATCGATTATTAAGTGCCAACTTTCTCAGTAATCCGTACTGTTGCTGCATAAAACGGAAAAAAAATAAAACACTTGCAAATAATAGGTTTTAAGATTTTCAAGTAATTTCTTTAGTTATTTCGGTTCTCTGTTTGTTTTTGATCTGAGTTGGTGTCCTCTGAAGGCAAATATTAGGACACGGAAGGACTTCCTCTTTTTTCGGAGTCATTAACAATATTGAAGTTTTGTGGACTTGTTAAAAATCACATGGCTTCAAAATTACTTTTGTCCATTGTTTCGAAGAGAAGAAAAGCCGCAGAGAAAGAAACTTAGGCCTCGTTACATGGTGAATGATATGCAAAGTTTTGCTCTGACATAAGGAACGAGTCACACAAAGCTTGCAGGCGTAGAATAAAATTTGGGCATTGTTACTGGCATTTTAGAGGAAGTTATTTTATATTGATGGCATGTAGGGGGTGTAGGAAGTCTAAATGGACGAGAACCTGCGATGTCGTTAAATATTAGAAGCACAGTATTGGACAGTGGAGGCGAGCAATTAGGCAACAAAGGAGGAGTTTTTAAATGATACAAATTATCGGAAATTTACTAATTTTATAAAAGTTTCTTTTGACTAGCAGGTCTTTTCCGATTTTTTTGTTATATTCTTAGAAGAAAGTTCAAGCTGGTGTGCCAGGAAGTTGTGCTGATATCTGTAGAAAATATGTTCACGAAGTCCTGTTTAGTTTTTCAATCATCCGTTGTTGCAGTCGTGGTAGTACCATGCATTTGATCCATCCTCAAACACGTCATCATCGTTAAGGAAAAAATACAACAATTCCTTTGGCGTTTATATCCATTCCGTTTATATTCATCGCCTGTAAAAATAATTTGTTTTTTTTCCTCAAGGGTGGATAAAAACTGAGCCAGGTAGTTTTTAAGTTCGTTTCTCTATCGACTAAATTTATATAGCGTCCAATTTAGTTTCCTCTATATCTCCCGGTGAAGCAAGCAGGTATCGAAGCAAAACTCCATTGGAAATAAACGGGTCCCATTTTTTTTCTGTTGGACAAAAATCAAGCCAGGTAGTTTTTACCTTCGGTTTTTTTATCTGTTAAATTTAGTTTCCAATTTGGTTTTATCTATCTCCCACGGTGAAGCAAGCCAACACCGAAGCAAAACTCCACTGGATATAAAACTGCTCCCGTTTTTTTCTACGTGCTAAGAACAGTACTGTTCTGTTTTGCGTTTCACTTCTCTTGTACGGGTAATCTTGGAATGCCGTATTTGTAATTTTTTTTGTGTGTGTGTTAAAGAGAAAACTCTGGAGGTTTCGAACATGCTTCACGCTCGCTTTTGAGTGCCATAGGCTAAGAACTGAACTTTTGCCTCCTGCCTCTAAATCCTGAGGTGTTTTTTTGTTGACTTACTGAATAATAAAAGATTTGAAGAGAAGTTATTGAGTCTTGGGTTGGATTTTGCCGTTCCCGTTTGCAATAAAAGTGTATCGTAATCTTTCCGTTGTCTCGGTCATTTAAGTTGTCATTTTAGTACTGTTAAGTTAAATAGTTCAAACGACAAAAGTACTTGTTTCTAGAGTTCGCTAGTCTTTGGACAACGAAGTTAGAAATACCTCTATTCAGTAGAATTTTAGCACAAGGATTTCGTCGGTTGATTTTTAGGAGTTTAGCGGACAGCTATTTATCATTAAGAAAAAGCTACAGCTTAATAACTGGATCCCTCATACTGAAATGCTACCAAAAGTACAATTAGAAATTGATAGAAGTTGGCAAAAGCTTCAAGAGAGGAGGAGAGGATTTTTCTTTAATTTTGTTGTTGTAATCAGTGCTTTCAAGTAGAGGGTGCTGTAACTCAACTGGTAATAAAGAAAAGATGAACGCATCTTATATTAATGTTCCACTAAGTTGGACAAAAAATCGTAAAAATTAGCCGTAAAAAGTGAGATCATGATAGATTGAAAACATAGAAATGTTATTCTTAAGGAAGTGCGTAACGCTTGCCGGAAATATTCCTTGCGAAACATGCGTTGACCGTTAATTGCATCAAGATACAAATTTGCTAATCTTTTTTTCTTCAACAGCACGTTTAAATTTGTAGAAATATTTTTTTCATTGAGTTCACAGATTATTGAATGTAGTGAGATCAGGTCTATTTTTAAACAGGCAGTGATAAAATCACAGTTAGTTTCGTTCTTGTAACTCAAATCTCGCCCTCTATTTTGTTTATTTTTAAACTCGTGTTTTAAGTACAGACGTGAAATACCTCACATAATTTCTGCATACCATCACATTTTCGAAACCTGTACAACATCTTAAAACAGAAACTTTAACATTGTTCAATTCTAATTTGGACTTTCATACTCATGCGACAGATGGTGCTAGTTTTTTCCTATTTTAAGGCTTACGTTGATGCGAAATAAATTTTCTCTGTGCCCACTGACTTTTACAAAATGAGGTCACTTCGCTTTCATATACATGATACTTCACGCATCAAAATACTGGACTTTCCAAAACTGTTGAATCTAACCACAGAAGGACCTGAAATGTTAAGGTCCGTTTTGTCACTCACGTGCAAAATGGTGGCATGCCGAAAATTCCACGGAAAAAGTTTTAAAATTTGTAAAAATTCATCAATCTTTCCTAGCCCTGATAACATGATTAAGTTTCCTGTTCATAGTACTCTTAAAAATGGAAATATGCTTTCTTGACAGCATAGGGAAAAGAAACTTGAAATTAACGAAAATGATTCGGAAAGGAACACTTTTTGTTACTTTTTTTTTTTAATTGAGAGAATCGCTCTCTCTCTCTCTATATATATATATATACACATATATATATAAATATATATATATATATATTTGGTAGGATTCCAGCATTTCAGGGAACTATCCGTTGGCCAAATCATAATATTCTTTCTCTGTCTGTTGATTTAGGAAGTGATACCGAGTTTTTGTCTGATCGTGTCATCATCTATATTGGGATCGCATAGGCCGGAATTCGTACCTTTTGACTGCTATTTGTGATATGCAAAATTTCAATATCCGAATTGTTGAATCCGCGTAAAGAAGATTCCAGCTGCAGTTAATTAATTCTGTGTTATTTTTAAAGATTTGGGTGTTGTTTTTCTCGAGGTTTTGATCCTTTCCTTAATTTGTTGACAAAGAGTTTAGTTCATGTCCGTGCTGTACATCACGTAGTTGTATTTCCGAGGTAATCCTCGGTGTATGCAAGGCGGTAAACAGGGTTAAAGGACAGAGTAGTTTAGACAAATAAAAAGTTTGTTAAGTAAACGGAAAGTAATGAGAGTTGTCTTTTTAACCCCTATTAACTGAAGTACCCAATATTGCTCCAAACCACGCTACGTGCTCGCTAAAACTGCACTCGAATCCACGGATTTCCGTCTTACAGAAACTGTAAATTTTCAAGGCATTACTTGTAAAAGTACATTGTAAAATAAGTCGTGTAAAATGATATTATTGAGATATTGTATGTTGAAAGCTGGCTGCGTAATCAAGAAGTAACCAGCACGTGATAATTGCTGTTAAAGAAAAATCTGATAATCCTCTCGAAATTTCTGTTTGGGTAACAGCAAACTTGCGTGGGCAATCTTGTCAGTAAGTAGGCCTCCACTCGACAATTCGGCCTTGCGTAATATGTTCAACCGAGGTCTGAATATCTATTTTTATGACGTGTTCACCTTGTTTAATTTCACAATGAAGCTTTGTTTTCACTCGTGTCGCGGTTTTTGGGGAAAGTTTTTTTATGGTTTAGTAGTCTTGATGAAGAGGAAATGAAAGTGGAGTGTTTTTTGTGCCTACGATTTCGAGAGGGAGTTTTAAGGATTTCCGTTTTATAGAAAAAAAATTTTCTGCAAGTACGTTGTAGAAAAAAAATGAGTTGCTTCCAGTAACTTCGGGTTTCTTTTTTTTTTTTTTTTTTTTTTTTTTTTTTTTTAATAGCAGAAATATAAAATGATCTTTCTTTATTGGTCGAATACACTTTGATCAAATAGTTTGGCTTTTGGAAGAAACTTATGAAACGAAGAAAGATGATATTAAAGTTGCTACAAAGTTTTAGGAAAAAGATTTTCAATTATAACTATCGGTAGTTGTGGTTTCTGTTTACAAAGCAGTGAGGGCTTGCATTTTGAAAAAGTAACTGCTTTTTATTTACAATTTTTTTTATACAATGTTTTTCTGCAATTGCTTAAATTGCCGCTCGCTCTCGTG